CCACCAAAGTCCTCTATCCTTCCCATTTCTCTGAGGGCATTGATAATATCTGCATGATCCATAGGCTGACCGTCGGTAGTGATAGTGGATCCAGCCAACCTGTCAGCTCTTTCATTTCCATCGACGCCTGCGTGTCCCGGAACAAAAATGAAGGTGACTCCTCGCACAGTGGACTTCTGTAATGATTCAAGCCATTGTCTTCGCACTGAACCTGCCTGAACCCTCCGGATCATACTCATTGAATCACTGAGTATACACACGCGGGTGTATTTTTGTGTTTCAAGCCAGGCAAACGCTTGCGTCACTGCCATCACCTCCATCGTCATGCTGCTGGTTGTCATGGATAAGGCTGAGCGTGCTGTAAATGACCATGCGCTTCTTCTTTGGCGTATAACGGATCCGTCTGTATAGATTATTGCATCTGCTTCGTCTGAATTTTCACCGATGAGAGCGTTGACCTCTGCATTAACAGCAACAGGATTCTCTTCTCTACATCGCCTGTTGAGTGTGACAATACAGGAAACTGTACAAATAAACGCCTGAGGCACAGGTATCCATTCTGCACCAGGTATGATGTCGGTTAGGCTGCATATTTGCCTAATAACATCTTCTGCCCGACCTAGCCACGATTTCCCCCTCTTCAGTCTGTCGCCCTTTTCACTAAAAAGCGCTTGATGCAGTGGGTGTTTCTTATCAGCACATATTTTGAGATATGCCCGAGCCCTCCACATCCTGATCCTTTGGTTCATTGTTGGAAAGTCAAGTAGATACCTCATTGCTCCACAGGATGTGTCTCTTGTACAGTGAGGATGGCAGTAAGAAAGTGCAGCAATGTCCATTCAAAGCAAAAGCCAAATCCTGGGACAAGCTTTCTTCCATCAGTGTTTTTGACCTTTCTTCTTTTATTCCATCAGTGTTTTTGATCTTCTTCTTTTATTCTATCAGTGATTTTGGTCTTTCTTCTTTTACTCCATCAGTGTTTTTAAATTTTTTTTTATATTCCATCAGTGTTTTTGACCTTTCTTCTTCAAATACATGATTATTTGGGGGTTGCGTGGTCTCGAGGCATGGTGTCGGCCACGAGTGCTAGAGGTTCCAGGTTCAATCCCCAGTAAGGGCTGAGATTTTTTCACGTGGACTTGGACTTTCAGCAATTCTCCCATGCCCCCTTCCCCCTCTTCCCCCGATCCTTCCCAGTCTCTGGGTAGTGAAATCGGACACCCGTGTACATTGTTGCGCACGTACAAAATCCCTTGTCAGTTGGGAGTCTAAAAGAGTAACCTAACGGCGCTGCTCTTTCAAAATCTGAAGTTAAAAATCTGCCCAAAGTATTTCAGGATCCTCGCCGACGCTACAGAGTCTGTGCACTGTGTTGAGCTTATTTGGACCCAGACATGAGTTAGAAGAAGAACGAAGCACTTATGGGTTACTACCCGTGCGCTATGACGTTGGTCCGCTGTTCAAACTAAAACTTGAAACAATTATAGCAATAGAAAAATTGTCCAATCGTGATTATGTAGCCTTCAACTGTTGTTTCAAATCATCACATTTCCTCAGTCCAATCATCAACAATGTTTCCAGGTTAATGAATTATCTTTCTCAGGATTTAAGAGAAAGATAGCATACCGCCATCAACTGCACAACTTGGTGGAATACTGATACATGATAAGGGAGACGTGGTTAGTGCCTTGTGGGAGAGCGTGTACAGTTAGGAGAAGCAGATGGATCACCACAGTCTGGTGAGACTGATGCAGTGGGGAGTGACCAGAGGTTCAGGCAGATGCTCAAGACTCAGAGGAAAAGCAAGGCGGACGTTTAATCAGAATGTTAGTGGCACTATTAGTATCAGAACTGGCTGCTGAAGATGGGGACGGAGCGCTCATAGGAATGCCCTGAGTGCTGTAATGTCGGTTCTTGAATCAACTCTCCTATCTGAGCCGTTTTTACAAGGCACAACCTTACGAAAACTCCTTTACACATAAGATTTCCCACCTACGGCGATCGTTCAGGTAATTACATAGCTTGCAGTAACAGAAGTGACACTCTCTTTCTCAGCTTTCGTAAAACAGACTTGTTTCAATGTAGTCTTCAATTCCTTGAGTCTTGAGACACGCATTGTGACTTTATATTTATCGCAAGATCGATGGTTAGTTTCGTGTCTTTTCAAGTTGTACTCTCTTGGTGTGACAATTCTTGCGTTGCAAATTAAACAGTTTATCTTTGCATTAATCGGTAATTGGCATTTTTTTACTCGCACTTCTTTCTTCGGTTTAATCTTATCTGGAGAAGCACTTATCCTTCTACACTATTTTCCCTTGAAACAAGACACTTTTCATACTAACCACCTAGGGCGTTTTTCAAATCAAACTGGGCGTTTTTCAAATCAAACTGGACGATTTTCAAATCAAACTGGACGATTTTCAAATCAAATAGGACACTTTTCAAAGCAAACTGGACACATTTTGTTTGCAACAATTGATACTTCTGAACCAAGGAAGTAATGTATTATGACAAAGAAAATCACGTCTTACAAGATGAAAATCAGTTTGTGGGGTTCAGCATGTAGGAATAAGGTGACAAGAACTTTAGAAGAAATGACGAGCCCAGGATTCTCCATAGATCATCTGGTTTGTGGATTCTGGCATTGTCCACCATCAGCCGTGCACCGTTTAGTTCCTCCTTGCTACCTATTTGCGTCACAAGCGCTTCGACAAATGTGCAGAACTTTTCACCATTTCAGGTGCCAACATCGATGATCTCTGAGTGAACTATGCCTTGGTTGTTCATCCCCACAATTCGTGTCATCATGCGGCCTCTCACTGTGGACAGGACAATGTTTGATCATGTCCTATATGCGTCACAAGCGCTTCGACAAATGTGCAGAACTTTTCACCGTTTCAGGTGCCAACATCGATGATCTCTGAGTGAACTATGCCTTGGTTGTTCAACCCGACAATTCGTGTCATCATGCGGCCTCTCACTGTGGGCAGGATAATGTTTGGTCGTGTCCCTCTCTTCGAGCGAGCCTGTGTCCGTCGTAAATGATGACTGAATCCACTCTCAGCCGTGAAGATGCACGTCTCCTCATCTTGTGGAGCATGTGCTGAGAAGTGGAGAGCATAAGTTTGCCGTCTTGCTACTGACGCTGTCAATTTTGAAATGGTACTTTTTTAGGGCGATCTTAAATTTCGGAGGCAATTGAACATTGTAGATACGACCAAGTCAGTACCGTTCTCCTTTATCCGCTGCTGTCTTCTTCTTCGGCCTTTCTATCACCCAATGGAGCATAGGCCCTCAACCAACTCACGCCAAGTCGTTCTATCCTTCGCTATTACATGAGCTCTTCCCTATGTCCTCCCCATCTTTCTAACTTTATTCTCCAGCTCTCTTCTCCGTGTGTTTTTTTTTTTTTGGGCCTTTTTTTTATTCCTATGCCCCTGTGAGTTCTAAATCCGCTGCTGTAACTGCACCAAAGTATCGTATGGATGTCGTTCAACAATGTTTTCTTTTCGCTACAGCACATTGGGTGTCAGCTTCTCTTTGTTGTTTGCACCAAAGTTTCGCTGAAATTTGGCAACTTCTCGTTTGAAGGCACTGATGATTCTTTTGTTTTTTTATGCTCTCGCTCATGCCAGCGACTTAAGCTCCCTCGTGTGAAGTTTTTCCATCGACTAACACAAGCTTAATACGAACTTTTTATGCGCTAAGAATGTTTGCTTACACCATCGTTGCCTCAAAGTCGCGTCGTTGTGATGTCAGTTGCTTCGCTAAGTTTACAGAAATGTACAATAAACAGATAAAAGCACATAATTCTAAGTATAGATATCGAAAAAGAACATTCCAGAAATAATAACGAAATGCATGCTCTAGAACATCTCGAAACTTCCTCGAATTTAGGCATTAAAAAAATTACGTGAATTTTGTCCAGTTTAGTTTTAAAAAATGTCAGGTTTGATTCGACAAAAGTCCCAAGTGGTTTAAAAATCGTCCAGTTTCATTTGAAAAAAATTTCCTCATTGGTTTGAAAATCGTCCGTATTTGATTTGAAAAACGCCATGGGGGGCTTGAAAAATGTCCATTTTGTTATGAAAAACGTCTTAGGTGGTTTGAAATTGCACTACAATGACAACTATACCCAGTCACTCCACAATGACAACTACACGCAGTTACACTACAATAAAAACTACAACTATTCACACAATAGTGACAACCACATTCAGTCACATTGCAATGACAACCACACCTAGTCACACATCAATGACAACCACGCCCAGTCACACTACAATGACAGTCACACTCAGTCACAATGCAATGACAACCACACCAAGTCACACTGCAATGACACCCACACACAGCCACACTACAATGACAAACATGCCCAGTGACACTACAGTGACAACCACAACTAGTCACTCTGCAATGACAACCACACCTAGTCACACAACAATGACAACCTCACCTAGTCACACTACAATGACAACCACAAACAGTCACACTGCAATGACAACCACAAACAGTCACACCGCAATGACAACTATGCTCAGTCACACTACAATGACAACCACGCCTAGTCACACTACTATGACAACTACACCCAGTCACACTACAATAACAACTACGCCCAGTCACACTACAATAACAACCACGCCCAGTCACACTACAATAACAACCACGCCCAGTCACACTACAATAACAACCACGCCCAGTCACACTACAATGACAACCACGCCCAGTCACACTACAATAACAACCACGCCCAGTCACACTACAATAACAACCACGCCCAGTCACACTACAATGACAACCACGCCCAGTCACACTACAAAAACAACCACGCCCAGTCACACTACAATAACAACCACGCCCAGTCACACTACACAAACCACGCACAGTCACACTACAATAACAACCACGCCCAGTCACACTACAATGACAACCACGCCCAGTCACACTACAATAACAACCACGCCCAGTCACACTACAATGACAACCACGCCCAGTCACACTACAATAACAACCACGCCCAGTCACACTACAATAACAACCACACCCAGTCACACTACAATAACAACCATGCCCAGTCACACTACAATAACAACCACGCCCAGTCACACTACAATAACAACCACGCCCAGTCACACTACAATAACAACCACGCCCAGTCACACTACAATAACAACCACGCCCAGTCACACTACAATAACAACCACGCCCAGTCACACTACAATAACAACCACGCCCAGTCACACTACAATAACAACCACGCCCAGTCACACTACAATGACAACCACGCCCAGTCACACTACAATAACAACCACGCCCAGTCACACTACAATAACAACCACGCCCAGTCACACTTCAATAACAACCACGCCCAGTCAAACTACAATAACAACCACGCCCAGTCACACTACAATAACAACCACGCCCAGTCACACTACAATGACACACCAAGAACATAGCCAAGATAACCATACCTTGGAACCAAGGTAAAACCCATCTTCATTTACTCCTTCTAATTCTCGTTTCTAGACCAATATTCAGAATTACGATGTAAATCACAACCTTCATCATTATCATCATTAGAGGCACTGCAACCTAAGGAACAGGCTATTCGGCCTCCACCCCGCCCGCTCCGCTCAACCCCAATCCTCAAAACAATTTCGAGTTGGCTAAGAGCCACCTCCACCCCGACCATTTTTTTCACTTTTTCCCAGAGCGCTAAATAATTTGGTAAGAAAGCTAAGGAACCACCTTATATCGCGTGTATGTGTATACAAGTATTCTCTTTAACCGTATTATATTTCACATCATATTGTCACATTAGTTCAAATTTACTTTTATAGTTACTCACCATTCAGCACAGTATAATAATAATAATAATACTTATTGGTATGCTCTCTTAAACTAGAATTTAGTCCTTTTAGCCCCCCCCCCCCCCCCCCACCCGACTTTCTGGACCAGAAAATATGTAAGGCTGCAAACAATGGCTACTCTCTTCTTTTCCCCAAACAAACAAAAAAACCAACCCCAACGTTTTCTTATTGTCGCAGCGCCAGATCATCATGTAGCAGGGCCCTTTGCAGAACTTTGCACCCATCACAGCACGTCGGAATACCCGTCTGTTCTTTACCAACTTTCCTGATTCATCGCTGAACGATTTCAATAGAGTTTGGATTATCCCATTTATTGACAAGGAGAGAATCGCATAATTGCAAGTCAAATTACAGACTTCCAGACACCACCACCACCAAAACACCACCAACACAACTAGTGCATTTTTTTTTCAATTATAAATCCTTCGTCAAAGTACTTAATAGAATTGAAAATGCGCGCATGCGCGAGCACATACAAACACACACACACACACACACACACATGACCTACTGATGTGGCCCGATTCATGAAATATCTCATTATTTCACTTCTTGTATAGTGAATGGATTTAGTTAGGAGTCAAAGGTGAACAACTCGTAGGTCATCAACGGTTCTAAACCTGGGGGCATGACGGTACCCCGTTAGCTTTCTTGTTTTAATGTTTATAGCCTAATGAATAAAGTGCTATCTCCACAATGACGGTTAGCTGTGAGTAACTGCAGCATTCTTAGTGTCTATACCAGGATTCCAACTCTATACAAACTGCTGTATGTCAATGGATTAGTGTTATTTCTTCCCACTTGTATCTATCTCTTGCTCGTCCACCTTCAACTTTCTATCAATTACGTTAACTGCTTCCTGCTTCTCTGTAAACTCAGCTTAGTATATATTTTTAAGTTAGTTTCGTATCCCTTACATGACGCTGCAAAACCAACTATGGTATTTTTAGCTGTTTGGGGTGTCAGTGGGCAAGTTGACGTTTTCCATTGCCACTCAGCGGTCGGCTGTCGATATTCGATATCACTGTCGAAACAAGCGCAAGGCGATCTATTATGGCCTGGAGAGAATGAGGCACCTGGGTGTAACCACGGGGTCTGGCCGGCTTATTACACTCAGAGGAAAAGCAAGACGGACATACAACCAGATTGTGACCGGTACCATCAGTATTGGAACTGCGCAGGCTGCTGAAGATGAGGACGAAGCACGCATTGGAATGCCCCGAGTGCTGTGATGTCAATTCTTGACTCAACTCAACTCAGGTGGGATCAAACCCGGCACTTCGGAGTGACGAAGCGTCTTCCCAACGTTCAAGCCACAGATGCCTAAAATAGTTACCTAGAAACACAAATAATCTTGGAAGTAAAGCCGGCCGACATGATGCCTATATCACATAATGGTTTCCTAAGGGTCTATTTAATAGTAACATTAGCCCGGTACACAGCTGGGGTAAAAATTTGGTGGGATGGTGGTTGTGGAGAAGATGGTGCTGATGGTGACCTCTTCTTCCTTTTCTCAAATGGCGCTGTGGGGAGCTACCAGGGAGTCTGGCCGACGCTCAACACTCAAGAGAAAGGCGAGACAGATATACAATCAGACAGTTACTGGCGCCACGGAAAGTATAACTCCTCGCTTGCTGCTGGAAATGGGAACAGAGCGTTTATGGGAATGTCCGGAGTACTGTGATGCCGATTCCTAATTCAAAATTCAACATCCTGTGTCTTAGCATTTACAGGTTGTAAACTCGACGGAAAGCTCTGGTTGTTCGCCCACTTCAGCACGTTAGTTTTGTTCTAGAGCTTGAGTTTCACGTAAAGATGCATTTTACAGATCTGACTTATGTGTATGCAGACGGGTGGTTTCTCGTTTCTAAGGCAGATGCACTCCGATGCACGGCAGTGTGTATATTCTTTATGTTTATGTTTTTTCAACAGATCCAAATCATGGCACATGGGTGTAACACACAAGTGCTCCGTTCTATTTGTAACACAAACCTGAGTCTGAAGAATCTCGGAGCAGTGAACGAACTTCGTTGCACCGAAAGGGGCGGATGGGGGGGCGGGGGGGGGGGGAGTTCCTGAAATACTTTGGGTAAATTTTTAACTCCGCATTTTGTCCCAAAAGTGTCGTTAGGCTTCTGTTTTTCTCTTTCCAACTGCCACGGGATTTTCTACGTGTACAACAATGCACACTTGCGTCCGGTCTTACTACCCAGAGACCAGGGACAATTTCCAAAAGTCCACATGAATAAATCCTAGTCTTTACCGGGATTTGATCCTGGGACCTCCAGCACTAGAAGTGGATGCCATACCTCGAGACCACTCAGACCCCTAAATCGGGGTCTATTCTTGTTACCCCGTAAACACGACACTGGAACCCACACGCAGAGATGATGATGATGATTATGATGATTACGATGATAGTGATGGCTGAGACACTGATGATAATCATGCTGATTGTGTTGACGATGATGGTAATAAAGGTGGTTGTGGTGGTGATGTGGTTGTGGTGGTGGTGCTGGTGGGTGATGATGTGTGGTTGTGGTGCTGGTGCTGGTGTCAATGGTGACGAAGGTAATGAAGTGATATTACTGATAACGTTGACGATGCTGCAAATATTGATGTTAACCTAGATTATGATGATGTTGATAGTGGATACACGGATAATTGAGTTGTTGATTAATGGTGGTGGTGGTGGCTATGCTGTGTCGTTGTCGTCGTCGTCGTCTGTGGCTCAGGCACCGCGGTAGAGCTTCGTAATACCAGGATGCAGTGTTCGATCCCAGCTGCAGGCGATTTGACGGCAGACCGTCTTGCGTTGGTTTCGTCAGTAGCACTGAGAGTCGAACGTTTAGAAGGCAACTGCAAACTAATGAACTAATGTAACGGATATGCAATAAATTTTTATAACGGTGATGTTAGAGCCAAGACTGTGCTATCAGTGCAAAACGTGGACACTAACATCCTACAATGAACGTAAAACTGTGGCAACAGAGATGAAATGCCTTAGAAGAGCTGCAGGAATTTCAAGGAAAGACAGAATACGAAATCACGAAATCAGACGAATGCTAAAAATAAAGTCAGTCTTGCAAATCATCAAAGAACAACAAATGAAGTGCTTTGGACACCTAACAAAAATTCCCTGGTACTATATACCACAGCGAGCCACATTAAAACTTACAACGGGTATAGAGCGAGTGGAAGACCTTGGAAAATATGGAGTGATGGCATTAGGAACAGCCTTACAGAAATGAACATCGGTCTTAATAGTGCTCTTGACAGAGCTCATCAACGAATGTTACATCTTCCCCCGACACTTCGATGAGGTACAACGTGGAACAGAAGAAGAAGGAGAAGATGTTGAAGGTGATGGTAACGAAAATGGTGGTAATGTTGGTGATGATGCTGATGGTAGTAATTAGGTAAAGCTGAGCAGGATTCACTTAGGAACCGATATTACAGCCTTTTTTGGCATTCCCATAAACGGTCCGTCCCCTCTTCAGCAGCCAGTACATAGTTGCAGTCCTGACAGTATCAGTATCGTTCCTGAATGTATGCCGGTCTCGCCTTTCCTCTGATTGTTGAGGATCGGTCAGATTCCTGGTCACTGCTTGTTGCATCATCTTCTCTAGATTATGATGAATTATTAATTAGAAAGTCAGTTCATCATCATCATCATCATGTGCCCTGCCAACTGGCGTGGGCGCTCATACGTCTCCACAGATCACGATCTCTGGTTGACTGGAACAGCTCTCTTGATGATATCCCTCTATGCAATCGTTTTAGCCCATCCAGCGTTATCGCTCTTGGTCTGCCTCTACCCCCTTTTTCCACTGATCTTTCCAGTTGTCACGATGTTCTCCAATGTCTCTCTTCTCATTTGGCCAAAGAACAGTGTTTGCCTCTTTCCTATTGTTGTATATAGAGATCTACTTTCATTAGCTTCTTTCAAGCAATCGTTGTTAGTTATTCTGTCCGTCCAAGGTATTCATAACATTCGTCTCAGAAACCACATCTCTGTTGCTTCCCAAATTCTTCTTAATTTGTTCAGTGACATTCCAAGATTCGCCGCCATACAGTAGAACAGGTTCTTTGTAACATTTGAGCACCCTCTTTCTGACATTAAATAAGAGCGATTTATTGCATAAGATATTTTTCATTTTCTGAAATGCTGCTATCGCTTGACCTATTCTGCTTTTAATCTGTCACACATTTTCCATTTGATGATATGATTGTTTCCAGATATTTAAATTTATTGACTTGGTTACGTCTTTTTTCTTTCAACTGAGACGTCGCAAGGTTGAATTATCTTTTTCTTTGATATAACCAATACTTCCGTTTTCTTAGTCGACAGATTTTGTACAGCTCATCAAACCATTCAGCCCATAAATTGTCCAATCACCTCCTTTGTAAATCCCGCAGCTTGTAATGGCTAATGACATCAGTCCAGTATTGGTTTCTTATTTGGCTTTTCGCGGAGTGCACTTGTCTGTCCACACCCCGTTTTAATATGTCATTCTTGCAGCCTGGTCGTGGTTGCAGATTCACAGTCATCATTTGATGTATTTCTTCCCCGTGTGGGTTCTGGGGAAAAACAAGAATAGATCTATTCCCCCCCCC